TTTATTTGCAATAAGATCTTTTAGCATAGCAGGAAACTGCTAGTTACTTAAACTTAAATATGAAGTCCTAACCAAATAAACTTCTACAACTCGCTTCCATTCCGCCTTAACTGTTTTATTAACTCCAACATCTAGAGGTTGCAAAAAATGACTTTTGTGAGCTGGCAATCGGAATAAAATAATGTTGTTAGATTCTGATAATCTTTTTAACTCAAAATTGATGTGAGATGCATGGCCATCTAAAATTAGAATTTTAGATCCCTGAAGTTTGTTTGCGTAAAAAAATTGAACGAGACCATTCTATGAAATTTTTGCTTTCCACCTAACCTGAAGACTTGCTAGTTTAATAATAAACATTAGAAGCGCCACCTCGAACCCAAACTTTCATCAAATTTCTACCTTAGTAAATGACTGGAATAAGTAGGAAATTTCTGAAAACATCACAACAAGTTAAAATTGTAGTCATAAGTTTTTCATTTGTTGGGGCAATTTGTTTTGGATTTTTTAACCCTTTTCAACAAACAATGTTAACTTTACCTTGATCGAATTTCAATCCACTTTCATCACAGTTAAACACATGAAACGACTTTTCATTTAAATTATGCTCTCGATAAACAGCGTCAACTTGGTTGAATCATTCATTAATAATTGCTGGTTGCAAAGACACTACTTATACAGCTTGCATGCAAGCTTTCTTTGACAAATGTTTTTTGCATATTTTCTCATGAAACTATTGTACCACTTTTTAGTAGGTTTACCAGTCTTGAACAAATGAGTTTGGTTAGATTCCTTCAAATAGTTTTCGACCACAGTTAAAATATCATTTCTTTTTAAGCTGAAGCCAATGAAGCTCATAAACTGTACAAGTTCAACTATAAGCCTCTCCGTTACTTGGCTAATTGCTCTTGGCAACACCAGCAGCTCCATTTATTCTTTTCAATCTGCAAAAAATAGTTGTTTTAGGAATTTTTTGAACATAAAGCAGCTTTTGAATATGAAATCTTTTTATTATCAATAGCTTCAATACAAAGTTTAATTCTTTGTTCGCGATCATCATTATTTTAAACTTTTAGCATTTTTTTTATTAACAAACATTACAAGAAGTTTAGAAATTCATTATAAATGTTAAAAACGTTTAACGCCTTACTTATAACTTTTAAAAGTTCAGGTTGTTAAAATACTATTATTAAAATTTTTTGTTAATTACTTGCTTGTAAAAACGCAAACATTTGTGCATTTTAAAATCTGTTCGGAATTCAGGAAAATTTTAAATTATGCAAAAAAGTATTGTTTTTTAAAATAACTTACGAAGTATTGCTAATTTTTAATTTTTTTTTCAGATTAATAATCACCGTTTTGGAATTTTTACAGTATGTATGTATGTATGTATGTATGTATGTATGTATGTATATTTATATATATATATATATATATATATATATATATATATATATATATATATATATATATATATATATATATATATATATATATATATATATATATATATATATATTTATATATATATATATGTTGATACTTGTCAAGATTATTTTTGAACTCATTTAAGTTATGAGAATCAACTACTTTATCCGATAGTTCATTCCATGCGGTTGCTGCTTGATTAAGGATATAGTTTTGTCAGGAAACACTTTTAGTAAATTTGGCTCTGTATCTTAAGTTGTGTCCAGGTGTCTTAATCTGATTATTTTTTATGTTTATTTGCTATAAAAATTTATATCTATGTAAGGTTATTTATCTATTTTATTGATGATTTTAAAAATGAGTTGAAAGTGTTGTTAGATTTAAACTCACAAGTTTTTCTTCATATGTCATCTTTTTAAGATAGGGAATTAGCTTAGTTACTCGCCTCTGTACTTATTCTAATACAGATATATCTCCTTTAAGGTAAGGAGACCATATAGTGATACTGTATTCAAGATGTGGATGGACAAGTGTAGTTTAGAGAACTTTAAACATCTCTTTATCAATCTAACAAAAAGTGCTTTTAGCATACCAAGAGCTCGATTTGCTTTAGACACAGAGCTAATTGCTTGTTGTTTCCAATTAAGATTAGCAGATAAATTGATACCTAGATCTTTCTCATATATAGACTTTTCTAAAGTTATTATATTGTCAATGTTTAAATCGGGTCTAAAGTAATCGTGCTTTGGATTGTTTTTCCCTATATGCATAACATGACATTTTTTACTGTTAAACTTGATCAGCCATTTTTTTGACCATTCAAATGCCTTGATAAAATCATCTTGAAGAGCTGGTATAGAATTATTGTTATATATTTGATTGATGATTTTAGTATCATCAGCAAATATATAATCAGTTTTTTGGTAAGTCATTGATATAGATGACATAAAGAAGTGGAACACGGACCCTTGTGGAATACCACTAAAAACATCTTTCCAATCTGACTCAATATGGTTACAACTCTTTGCTTCCTAATTTCAAATAAAATTACAACTCTTTGCTTCCTAATTGCTAA